AAATCTGTTCTTTTTGACAACGTATGCAAAATTCGATTATTTTTGATTGTTCGAACTATAGACAAACTTTTCATATGCAAATATCTTATATCAGAATTTTATTTTTATCTTCAAATAAGAATGTTTTCAGCACTGTGTAGTTAACTAAATAGTTCTTCATGGAAGTAATCAGTTTCCATTGAATTTCTTATTTCTTGCACATTATTTACTGCATTCTGTGTCGCATTTATGATCAACATCCAAAGACTAATTTTTATCGATGTGATATGCATGACCATAAAATAAGCAAATAAAACTGAATCTTGGATACTTATTTAGGTAAAACTTGTTGAGCTATACAGACAAATATCTGGATTCTCGAATTAATCATTTGTCGGAAAACACACTAGGACAGTGAATATTTATGAACATCTCTTATTTGATACTAAGCGTATCTCATCTACCGACAGAGAGTAAGTTTTTATTAATCGACTTGCTAGATTTTGGCAGCGTATATAAGTACTATGAGTTTGTCTGTTTTCCCTTAATTTTACATTTTTTCATATAAATAATCGAATTTTGCATACGTTGTCAAAAAGAACAGATTTGCCCATTGTAATTCTTATTAAAGAGTTTTTATCTATTGAAATTTTACTTTTCCAGAATTGTTTATTTATTTTGGAATTAGATAGTAACTGCATTTTTTTTTCTTTCGTCCGAATCACATATGCACTCTGTGCTTGTTCTCTGTGTGAAGAATTAAGAAAAGAAGAAGAACAGAATCGCTTCTTGTATTTTAACTGTAAATGTCTAAATGAAATGGGCAATTGCTCATTTGCCCCTCTCTGGGTTACGCCGCTACTTATATGTTCTTTTCTTTATGAGAAGTCGTTCATTTCTATCTATTTTGTTGAGATAAATGATGATAGGAGCCAGAAAAATACCCGATGTCAAGCAGATTCTAAGTTGTCTCAAAACAACAGTGATAGATTTTTATATAAGTCCTGTAAAGAACTAAAATTTCCAAATTTTCATAGTCGATGATTAAGAGAAAGATTTATTTGAAGAAAAAAAAAGTACAATGAAGGAGAGATACATAAATAGAGAACATTTCAGAGTGACAGCTTCACCCGATGATGTTGCCATATTCAAATTCTGATTGCTACATATATTTTGATAGCAATAGGTTGCATTGATATATTGACTGGGCATCATCATCAACTGTTGACAGATCGTGTTTGATATCACAAGCTATGTCCACTTTTGCGCATGTGTTTGTTGTTCCGCTGTCATACAGGTAGAATCGTTCACCGAACAGACGAACTCATAGCTTGCACACATACACGTGTATTATTTGCACATTCGTTTACATTGCTAGAGTCTACTGTCATCAATGGGATATTAGAACTTGAAATTCCACTATAACAGACGATGGTTGAAATACATTGAACAGCACAGGCCAGCAACACCAGAGCAAAAACAATCGCATATTTGTCCGAAGCGAATATTCCAATGAAAGCGTATTCGCTTTGATTCGCTAGATATCAATAAAAAACATTTACATGACGATGACTTGTCTACTGACCTGAAGAATTGTATACTTTATGTATGAATTAATTTGTAATGATTCGATATTTTTTTGCTATTCATTATTTTTGTGTCAATTTATTATGAGAAAAAGAAAAAAATATGAAACGAAAAAAAAATTAAGGATATCATTGACGACCAGCGAATAAATAATCACCTTGCGATCAATGGAGCGTTTAATCAACAGAACACAGAAAAAAGAACATGGTTACTTTTTCTTCTAACTCATAATAGAGCACTACATGATAACCTTAACTTATCCTATGGTAGAGTTACAATATTAGTTTTAAAAGTGTAGAATAGATGTAGTATATAGGCTTAAACGTTTGAATATTGTTACAATCTTAGATTCAGACAGTTTTGACAAGAAAGTACCTTAAAGTCTCGCTGTGCAAGCAAGCTTGCAAATGGTAGTTCATTCGTTCATGACATTTATTTGCCATAAAAATTGATTTTCAAATTCATTGAGAATGTGCTCGTTTTTGTCGAACCTTTCTGGATTCTGATTTTCTTTTTTTTCGAATGACCACAATGCTTCACTTCCTCTTCGTCATTTTTTCAATTCCGATTAGAGGAAGCAATCAAATATTAAATGTGATACTGTAACTTTGACATGTAAAAGACAGAATATAAGACAAGATTAACAGATAGATCGTTTCTGAGTGGCTAAGGATGTCACAAAACCTGTCTCGAATTAAAAGAGAATCTATTGATCTTAACCATAACTAATTAATTGTGATGATTAGACTCAGAAGAATAGCAAGTAATCTGCGTACATATCTATTCTAACACCATGTGCAGCACTGCAACGAGCAATCTCGAGGATATGGGTATGGGGTATGCCTGTGTAAGTCTATACTATTTTCAAACACTCACATCGATGCGTCCTTGATATCCATATCCTTTTTTGTACATCGATTAATAAATATAATACAGGTAAATGAACCGTTTAATCGAAAACTCACGCAAGAAGCATTAACTATAATAGTTAAGGTTATGGTCACAAATTTATTTGTTAAACTTTAAAAGCTGAGGATTTTCTTGATAATTTACTATTTTCTCCTATCATGCACACTAAATGATAGTCAATGTTTAAGTATTTATTTCAGATTTTTATCAAAGATAAAAGTAGAAAATTTGAAAAACGAACTTCTTAAAAATAAAAAAGAGCTTTTGTTTAATCAATTGTTTCTGTCTCTTCTAATTGTTTTCCACAAAAACCTACCAAATGTCGTCTGAATTCACAATTATGCAATAAAATACAACTGAATTAGTAGTATTGGTGCAACAACATCATCAGATTGTTTACGTATTAATAGTTGCATTAGTATCAGTTGAAGACTAAAAGCAGATGGAGAGTTGATCGATGATTCTGCATGCATTTTAATCATGCGAAGATAATGAGGAATGAAGATATTTTATTTTGATTGTGTAGGTGAAGAAAAATCTATACAAACTGAGTATAATTCGACAATTTCTTTTATTTTCTTTATTTATTTGTGTACAATGATAAAACCCAATACTTCAAATACAAACATTGCATAATTTTTAAAAGAGAAAAAAAAGTAAAAATCTTAATAATGTATTGATTTTGTCCATTATACTGATACGTCGATCTTGACATTTTTTAATGGAAATTTCTTTTGCTATCTGAAAAAGAAGTTAAGTCAAAGTTTTCTAATCAAATAAAAATAAAATATGAAACCTGTTCTTTAAGCTGTTTATTATTTGAGGTTAATAAATTTAATTTTTCTTTTAATTGTTGTTCTTCTTTTAAAGAATTTGATACTTTTTCTTCGAATTCTTTTTGCTGTAAACGATTACGTTCAATAGAAAGTTTCTTTTGTTGAAAACAACTAATAAGACGATCAACAAATTTAGATAAATCATGCATTGAAAAGAAGCGACCTAATTGTCGATGAGCAATTCATTGAAATATTGAATCAATATTTTTTAAAAAGGATTTTAAATCTTGAATAAAAATAAAACTTTTTTTGTATTGACATTGGAGCTTTTTGCATGATAAATGTCATAAGAATAATTTCATTTGCATTATATTCATTAAGATGTTGTTTCAAAAATGAGTGAAACTTAAAAATAAAAAAAACAAACGAATTGATTTATTTTTTGAATTTCTACACAAACTAACTCGATAAAATCTATAAATAAATAATGTATATGTTGAACGATTTTCTAATAATGTTAATGCATCATTACCATGAGTGATTCCGTCATCAACTAGTGAATGAGAATAAATGAATAAATATAAATATAAAATGAAATACTTGGATAAGTTGATCCGTTAAGAAATGCTTGTCTAAGAGCATCAGGAATTGAATTGGGATGATTATCATTTGATGAACGAGTTGGACCAAGTAATTCGGGTACTGTATCCATAGCAGACCAATAAATTTCCCCTTCGTATAGAAAGAAATTATTCATTATATAAATATGAAAATTTTTTTTAGAGTATCAAAACCAATAACATTATTTTGATTTGCTATTAGTTTAACTTCGATATTTTTAGTGGATGTTGTTAAGTCATTATCTAGTTCAAGAGTTATATTTGTTTCTTCTTCATTAACTTCAATTGTTTCAGTAAATTTATAATTTAACTGTGACCGTTCAATATTAAGAGATCGATGATCACCTGTTTGTCATTGATAAACAGTTGTATTTCCATTCTCAATTAACTATTTTATAATTGGTAAAAGTTGTTCATTATCAGATTTCGAAGTTGGATGAAAATTTTCAATTAATTCTGTATCAAATTTGACAGCTGGTTTTAATAATAGTATTGAGCATTGATCTTCATTAGCTAATTTTGAAAATATATAGGGTAAATATTCAATACATTGAATTAATTATCGTTGAATATGATCACCCTTAAGAGAATAAGAATTTGTTGACATTTGCCAATTTGTTTTATTAATGCAGACATTTCAAAAGCAGCATTTCGCTGAACACTTTCAACTAAATATGTCAAATATCAATAAAAGAAAAATAGAAGCAAAACAGAATCAGAACGAATTGTTATGAAAAAAAAACAAATCAAGATAAAGAAAATTCTTTTCATAATTTGAAACAATTATTCGCCAATCCTAAATATTTATAAAATAATAAAAATATGAATTGATTATTTAAAAAAAAACATTCCTTCGTTTTGATGAATACATGCCGTTTTAAGACAACAAACATAATCTGACTCTAAAAATTGAATAAAAAATAAAAATGTAATAAATATTTAATTTATACATGATGATCCAAGTAATCTTTTGATTTCATCATGTTCGTGTATATGTAATATAGCTTGTTGAATTTTCAATCGAATAGCTATTAATCGTTCATTGCAATCTTTTGTACAATGAAGGCGATCGACTAACCAATCTGTCAAATGATCAATCTTATTATTATTTAAAAAAAGAAAAAGATAATCATGGGCCGAATCAACAAGTTTAATAAGATGAATATCGACAGTACTATCATCAACAGTCATTATAATATCTTCACAGAAAAGAAAAAAATGCAAATTTTTATTTTTAAAATCGATGAGAATTTCTGATAAAATAATGTAAAATGATGAAAACAAATTGATATATCAATCCTAATATTTGTCCTCTTTATTAAATAAAAAATTAATAGAGAAGAAAAATGAACTAAAACAAAGCATCAATTGGAAGATATTTGATGCCTATTAAACGTTCTTGATATGTTGCTAAATATTTCCTTTTCATTGTTTTATAAAGTTAAAAGAAAAAACTAAAAATGATTTACTTAAAATAATTTATTATCATATTCTTGTTGTTTCGTTGGAGATTTTTCTTTAATTTAATTAAAAGTAATTTCCAAACACGTCTAAAAGATTTTTCAATTAAATTATATTTATAAAGAAAATTTGTTAATTTTCCATCGTAATTATGAATACCTTTTGTAAAGTTTTAAAAATATTTGTTAAATAGTTCGATGTTTTACTATTAATTGTTGATAAATCACATAAAGATATTCCTAATGATCGTTATGACCTGCATCTTCACATGTGGTCATAAGGATTTTTCTCTATAGCTATATGATTATGCGAATATGCTTATTCTCTTCTCTTAGTTATACGTGATGAATTTTTTCATGTCCTTTTGTTCTCTTTTCTTTCATGTTCATCTATGTATATTCTTCTCTTGTTGGATTTTCCATCTCACGGATTTTCATTTGCATCATCTATGGGACTTTTCCATTCCATGGATTCTTCCCTTTTCTTCTCATCCTATATATACAGTTGTTAAGTCATTAAAAATTATATAGATCTAATTACACAAACAAAGTATAAGTGGGATTAACATCTCACAATTGGTGCACTAGTCGATCTCACTAACAATTCAACAATCTAGTAAGAGACTGGAAGTCGTAGATGAACAACAACGGACGAAAATATTATATTCGAAGCATGGCACAAACACAAGAATTTGTTTCAATACCTGATTCTGACTGCACATCAAAAGGGGAACCATCTTCAACATACGTGCAACAACAACAAATACAAATGGATGACCAATACGATAATAGACAAGGGCAAATAAGCATACAACAACCAACTGAAATTATGTCAGTATCACAACAGTTATTGGTTAAACAAGTTTTAGTGCT